TCTACAAAAAGTTGACTAGGACCATCTTTGAGCTAAAACGTTTGTTTTCACATAATTTGGAATGAGAATGAGATGCAAAGTGCAGAAAAGAAAATCTGACTCCATGATGACATTCAGTAATTTAATGATTAGTACATGTTGGGACCCTTCAACATACAGCTATGTCTTCACATGAAGCAATAGCACCAATGTTAAACTTTTGTTTTTCTTTTCATATCTATTTTGACGGTCTTCTTTTACAGCTTTCCATTTTTTTTGCTCCTTTAGGAACTCGAGGAGCATGTTTACTACTTGAGCAACCCCTCTCGGCTCTTGTTTATGACTTGTTTGAGGGAAGTGTTCTGTGGTGTAGCTTCTCTTGATTTTCCTGGTCGTTGTGCATGTATGCGGTGGGCCAAAAAAATTATGGTTTGCATGTGAAATAGAACAAACGAAAAAAGCAACTTTTTGCTAGTTTCACATGCAATTCTTCCTTTCTTGTTTACAATCAAGTTGAACCAAAAAGAACAGTTGGTAAAAGTATAGTAAGAGTTACCAGCCTTTTGAATCCGAAGCGAAAAATATTAACAAAAATTTTAAAATAATATCTGAAATTTTTTTTAATCAAAACGGTAAAATCGCTCATGAAGTAGCGATTTTGTCCGCTTGAAAAAGTAAAATCGTTGCGATAGCAGCGATTTGTTAAATTTAATTTTTTTTTAAAAAAAAATAAACAAAATCGCTCCCAAAGGAAAAATTTATTCGTGTAAACCACTATATAAACGCTACTAAAAAAACTAAATTTAGCAACGAAATTTTTTATAGCTAAACAATAAAATTCGTTACTAATTCTATTTAGCACATTAGTTAAGTTAGTTACGAGCAAATAAGAACAGACTGTGAATCCATTTGAATGGTAATCAGCACTGTTATCATTTCTTAGATTGAATCGTATTTGTTACGAGTAATATATATTCGTCACCCTTAATAGCTACAAATTCAATAGTCTCGGAGTTTGAATTTTATTGATATTTTTAAATAATATTCATCACTTTATTTGTCAAATAGCCAAGAGGCTATACACGTACTCTCATACGTTTGAATTTTAGTAATATCGTGTCAATATTAATGACAGTTTTAGTCTATGATCAAGAAGATAAATGATTCAAGTAGCTAGTGTCGTGATTTTGAATTTTAGCCTCATTTTTTCTCTTAATTGTACCTAGGTAGTCGGGTAGGGCAAAGGAGAAATAAGGAGAGAATCACGAGATGAAAAATCGAACATCATTAGTTATCAATATAAATTCAAATATATAATCAATTCAATTGTTAGATCTATTTCTTAATTTTTGTTACATTAATGAATAACGATCAACTTTGAAGATTTTCTTGATTAGGTAAAAATAAATGAAAAAAAAGGAATCATCATCTTTTCCTTGTAGACTTGTTGAACGAATCGTAAGATTCTAATTTCTAAGTCAATTTGAGTAGAAGATCAAATCTCACAAATTTAACATATCAGACTAAAATATATTATATTAATATGAGATAGTGCAATATTTTCAAACTTTCCTGCTCCATTCAAAGTTTCATATCCACTAATTTCCCAAATTTTAGGACTAAGATTACGGGGATTTTTTTTTCTTTTTATCGAACGGAAAAATTAATTTACGTTCCTCTACTCTCTCCGGTAACATTTACACGATCAACTTACTCGATATTTATATTAAATTATATTATTATATCAATTTAAAAATTATATTAAATTTAAAAAAATTATTTTTAATATAATTAATAAGTAAAAATGTTTCTATTGTGACAGATCAAAGTACAGAACAACTCAAACAATAGTATCATATGTTTAAACTTTAATGATCTCTAGATTACTGCTTTCCAGTTGTCGTCAATAGTACCATTCACTCATTAAATATGAGATTTTCATTAACAAAAAAGGACGAACATGAATGTGACAGGATGTAAGAGTTTTCACTTTTTTTCAATTCAAGTTTAGGTAAAATCTTAATTCCTATTCATACCAAAATCATATCAAATTTAAGTAATTTAATAAAATAATATATCAAGTACCTTAATTTAAATTAAAAAAAAAAGAGTATATGTTCGAATACTTGTAATCAAACTATTGGTATAATATAAATAACTTTTTTGACAGATAATGAAAAGATAGGGAAATTTAAAAAAAAAAAGGGAATGTAAATGCACCTTTATTGACTAGGAATATTCTAATTTGTGTTAAAAAAGAATGGATTTATATTTTCCTTTTTGTAGTAAAGATTTTACTATAATTCACTGACGGCAGAAATTGAGGAAGTGGATTCTATTACTTTAATGTATTTAAAAGATTAGCTGGCGCTCTTTTTTTCAAATCTTTAACTAATTTAAAAAAATATGGGCGAGCTAATTCTGAAGAGTTACTTCGATTGATTTTTAAAATTGAAATGGTCATATTTTATATTTATATATTTTTAAAAAATTATTTAATTTAAATTATTTTTTAATTAAAATAAAATAATATTTTTTATACGACGAAAAAGAATAACAAAATATTTTAAATTTTATTTGATTGAAAATAGACTAGATTCAAAGATTAGTTGTAAGATGTTTGGGTGGAGCCTTGTGTTTACGTGGGGCAACGCACGCCCATTTCCCATCAACTGTCCATATCTTTTTGTCTCCTTATTTGGGTTTTTACGATTTTAAATTTCATACGTCAAAATCTACCTTTAATATTTCAAAATTAATCTTCAAAAGCACTTTAAATAATAATTTGGGAAAATTAGGACATGTATGCTATCAGCTTTACAATCAAGAAAACATTTATACATATTTTTTTGAAAAAAAGATTAACTTCCTCAATGATTATGATTAAGGAAATATTGACAATCATTTAACGAGGCTAGTATATATTAGTCGAATATTTGAATTATAATTTGCTTTATTTTAATATTAATAAAGTATTTTTATCATATTTGTAGCTCAATTTTACTCAAAAAAACATTGTGTATTTATTTTAAATAATTCATTATATAAATAAGTTAATTCACTAAAATCTGACACATTATTTAATTATACACGTTATCTTCAATAAGCTGTAAAATATATGCATGTTCAATTGAAGTTAATACTTATAAAGTTATAATTGAAGAAGGTGCTTCTTTTTTTTTCTTTTTAATGATTTTCTCTTTTTTGGTTTTGTACTAATTAATTTATATTTTTAAACCAAATCTCATGAGACAAAAGCTCTTTAATTTTTCCAAAGTCCGGAAAAAGAACTTAGGTGAACGAAACATTAGCAAGAATTTCCAAAAGAAAAATCTTTAAAAGTTTTTTTATTTTTTATTTATCTTTAATAGAATTTGAAAATAAATGTTATCTAAAATATCCCATTTGCTAGCATAAACGACAAAACTTCATGTCCAATTGTCAAATAGGTGATATAATAATAGAGTACATGAAGGAAATAATTATATTAGTGGATAAACCTTAAATTTTGAATTTGAAGATTGCAAAAAGAATAGTCATCGTCATTCTTTATTATTTTTACTTTTGAATGAATATCAATCAAAGGAAACTGTCCACATCCTTCTAAAGAGAAATAAATACTCTTCTACCTTTCTATACCCAACCACCGTTAGTTTTGCAAATTTCTAAGAAATTATAAATAAAATAACAATTTTATTATATTATTTTTAATAAAACAAATATAATATTTGTAAAAATTATAATAAAAATATAATTATAATTAATAATAAAAGTAAATAAAAAACTAAGTATAAAACCCTTCGTTAATTTAGTGACCCAATATTAGCGTACAACCATTATTGAATGAGGAAGTAGTACAAATAGTTCGTCCATTCATTTTTACTATCATTTTTAACTTATTAAGAATATACAATTATATTTTTTCATGTTTATTACCTCTAGTTTTAAATACTTTTTTAAAAAATTATTTTTCAAAATTCAAATACTATGAATAATTTGATAAAATATCTCAAATAATTATTTTCTTAATATTATACTAAGTTAATAACAAATAAATAAAAAAAAATACTGAGTATCTTCAATTAATAATTGGGCAACTTTCACATATAGCAAATAAAAAATTTATATTTGTATGCTATTGCAAAGTTTACATAATTGCGCTCCATGACAAACATAAAAACTGTATAATTCGCTATACATATACGATTGTATAATTCGCTATCCTATTTCACTGCAATTGTATAATGCACAATTGTATAATTCGCTGCCTATTTCGCTGCAATATTTTTATAAAATTTGCTTTGCATACAATTGAATCGAATTAAAATGTATGTATATTGCATAATTATAAGTGTATAACAAAAAAATATATGTTTTTCTCTCGCTTTACACAAAAACAGAAACACAATATATACACTTCTGTTGTATAAAGTTAGAGAAAATTATATTTCACTGCAATTGTATAATTCGCAATTGTATAATTCGTTGGTCTTTTTCTCTGCAATATTTGTATAAAATTTGCATTTGTCTACAATTGAATTGAAGTAAAATATTTGTAAATTATATAATTAAGTATATAACACGAAAATATATGTATTTACACGTGTATATACAATTTTTCTTTCATTTTATACAAAACAGAAATAGAATTTATACACTTTTGTGTATAAAGCGAGAGAGGCGAGCAGAGGAGATTTTTGGGAGAGAGGCGCCTGACAAACTTTGACTAACGTTTGCTATGAAGCACAATTAAATCAAATCTTAACCACTCAATTTATTTTAGATTATTAGTTTGCTATTATATATACTACTATTTTCCCTTGATATGATTCTACATTAAACTCTTAAAATTTAATTTTCCCTTGATAGGATTCTACATTAAACTCGTAAAATTTAAATGGTTAACTCCGATACCATTCTCAAATTTAGTAGAGTGGGCCATCACTCCCTGGGCCCACGACGCGCGAATTAGTTTCCGTGTGGACCCTCTTAGTAATCCTTTAAAGATCAAACTCTCTAATTCCAATAGCCCCAAACTACTCATCACTCTACTTGTATCGCCGCACTACACTCATAATAATAATCTCTCTCATATAAACATAAAAATAATAAAAAGAAAATCCCCAAAATACCAAACCCTCTGTCTTCTCCCTTATTCTCGCTTGAATTTTGGCGGCGGCAGCAGCAGCAATGGAGAATCAAAAGGTTAAGCTAATGTGTAGCTATGGTGGAAAAATCCAGCTTCGTCCTCACGATCATCAACTCTCCTATGTTGGCGGTGATACCAAAATCCTCACTGTTGATCGGAACGTCAAGTTTTCCGATGTTGCTTCAAAGGTGAATTGTCTCTGTAATTGCAACGCGGAGGTTTGTATGAAGTATCAGTTGCCTGGCGAAGATCTCGATGCACTGGTTTCTCTTATCGATGATGACGATGTTGAGCAAATGATGGTTGAATATGATCGCATGCAGAAAGTTTCGAATAAACCGGCTAGGTTAAGGCTTTTCCTCTTTTACCCGATTCGCTTACCAGAATCGCCGTTGAATCCGGATTTTTTATTCGGATTCGATAAGGATTACAACCCGAACCCGAGTCCAACGGCAACAGAGGATCTTCTCCAATTGCAATTCCCCGAAAATTCAGGATTAGATATGTCAAAAAATGAGGGAAGCGGCGTGATTGCAGTTCCGAAAATAGTTTGTGGTGACAGCAGCAGCAGCAGCTTGTTGGTGAAGAATCATTACACACAAGGGTTACGTGAAAGGCACGTGAATGGTGGGACCTATGGTAATGCGGTGCAAATGGTTTACGGGGTACCACTGATGACTGGTGGGTATCACACTGGGTTTGGGCAGTTGGGAGTAGTGGCTGCAGGTGGTGGCCAATACATGGACCAGCCTGTCTACAATTTTGTGCCTGCAGTGACTTCGGTGATGGTCCCAGATCAGCACAAGATGATTGTGTCTACAACTGATACTCTCAGCCGTGAAATCAAAAGTTGATCAGAACGTATCGTAACAGAGGTCATCATATCATCTTCATCCTTTTTCTCTTTCTTTCCAACATTGGTGAATTCTAAAATGGTACATAGAGTAAATAGCCACTGGTTTCTTTTTCCATTCTCATTTACTAAGGTGTTTACTCTTTGATATGTGTAATGAGTTTTTACCCCTTTTATGCAGCATATGTTTCCCATTATCTCAGATATTCTGTATATCATCATCATCATCATTAGTTAGAGATTACAATTTTTCCCATTAAAAAAAAGCTTCAAGTTGTTTTCTTCTTTCTTTCTTTTTGATACTTTATGGTGGTCCTATCTGTGGCGACAGCTACCATCTTCCATATCATTAATGGAGGCCACTGCAAGCTCTATAACTTTTTTTCTTGTTCCTGCTTTTCCCTTTAATTAGTAAAAGTTTGTTTATTCTTGAGCTACAAGCTGTATTATTTTTCTGAGTTTTACAGGTCACTAGAAATGGCTGAATATGACACTATTCAAATTACTTATTGTAGATGATAATTTAGCCAAGTTATAATTGGTGTTGCTGCAATCATCAGGCCCTAGCTACTTGTAGGTAGGAACCAAGAATGAAACGCAAGCCACCTACTTGCTATCGTATGGTACAAGTAAATTCTATAGCTTTATCTGTTTTAGTATTCTAGATTAGGTAACTATTATGCTTTCATTAGTATAACTGATATATGATCAGTGTACAGATTAGGTGACGGGCCCAACCCTGCCTAAGAATTGGCCTTATGCACACTTGGGATCAACTGTACTGAGTACTTCAACTATCTGAAAAGGCCATATCAATTATGTCATTCATATGCGAATATAGGCCTGATTAGGCTAATAATTTAGAACAAAGTTGAAGTTTTTCTTTTTAAATAAGTTTAGATATTGAGTTCATTGTTTAAAAAAGTTGAAGGTCACTACAACTAAAAAAAAGTAATATCGTATATATTCAATGTTTCTTTGATGATGTGGCCTTGATTTTTAAAAACAAAAAAGGAAGAAAGAAAACAACACCATTTTAATATGAGATAAACACAAGGGCGAGTCACTCTTATCATTTTGATTTGGGAAACTGATAACAGGTTTGTGTCCCCCTTGTTTTGGGGCTTCGTTGATAAATGCTGACCTAAGAGTTCCTTCTTTTTTTCTCTTCTGTTTAGCTGTCCTTGCTTTTATTTGTACAAAAAATATCTCGTCATAGCCTTTTTGTTTAGTCTTACCATCATTTATTTAGGCTACAGTTGGAAATAAATTAAAAAAAAAGGAGAAGAAAGAAAGACTGGATAACAGGCTGTGTAAAGTAGACCCTGACCTTTTTGCAATTTTTATTTATGCTTTGTCACAAACATATATATATTCCTTGTGTAATTCACAAGCTGGTTAGTTCATAGAGGTAGAATATAGTTGCAACTTCATCTAAATGAAACAATACAATTTTAGATGATTATGCATGATCATATATAACTTGCAGACATGGTTAAGTAATGAAATAAATTTTATTTAAAAGACGCATGTGGATGTTGCACTAGGCCTGAGCAAATAATTAACTTCCAAAAGAATTTTGAGCATTGAGTCGTGCAATTTTATAAAAATCATTCATCCAGAGAACCAACATTGCTTACTCATTTACCTTACTGCTTCTTAATAGCTCTCAGAATTCCGTATTTATGCCTAATATATTAGGCTTCCACCATGCTCAAACAGAAACGGATAAATAGGCAATAAAGGTTACTGATTTGCTGTTAACATTCTATTTACTCTCACTCTTTCAAGTTCAATCATGTTTGAACCTATAATACCAAACTGACTGGGCCTCTTCAAAAGATTTCTTCATTTTGGACCTACAGCCTACCCCCAATCACTTAAACTAAAAGATAGCCACCAAATGTATGATATATATAGTGTATAATCTTTGTATATCAACTTGAAAAAGTTAAACAGCAAAACCGAACTCTTTGTATAAAGATCCAAAAAATAATGGGCTCCTTTATCTCGCACGCTCAGTTTCATGTTCTGTCCAGGTGGATTTTTCTTTCTCAAATGCATTTTTACCGCAACTTTTTCAAAAGGGATAAATTTATATTTTTATATCATAATAGACCATAAAGTAATGCCCGCAATATCTAGGCTTCAGCTCACTAAAGAAACAAAATCTCAAAAGGCTTTCGAAAAATGTTCCTTTTGCCTATTTGCACGTCCTTTTTTATTGGAATGACAGAAGCAAGTTTTGATTATTTCTGCTTCTTGCAATTGTCTTTACACAGCACTTTCTGGTGATAAAGTAAAGTTAATGCTACCTACCCCTTGAAGATTTGGTAGGACCAACCCTTTCTAATTAAGCACATTAGGTCACAAACTCCCAATTAGTTGCTATACTTTTCTTGCATAAACTACTTGTGAAAGGTTAATAGAGATATAATGCCTGTTTGTTTATTGTTTCTTTTTTTTGCCTTCCCGATTCATTTTCAATGACTTTATATGATAATAATAGTAAGGATTGATTGAGTGACCATATGGGAAATCAATTCTTTGATTTACTTTTCCAAACACAAAAAATTGAAAAAGGAAATGGACTAATATTATAAATTTTAATGACATTAAAAAAGCAAAAAATAAAATAAAAAAACATCTCTAAGGGATTACCTCCATGATATTGAAGTCGCCGGAAAGAGTTCTAGTATGATTTCAATTTAACTATACATTCACATTGCCTGGCGGTAGTTTAACTCATTATATAATATGTATAAGGAGTCTCTTTGGTTACATATTAGATATATTCAAATTAAAGGATAATAATGTAAATGAATTATGTGCTAGGTTTACTACCAGAAAGGATTATCTACCTTAGGAACATTTTAGTTATTCGACAATTATTTCACAAAACTTCTTCTATCATATTAACTAAGCAATGCGCATATACTGAAAAATAAAAATAATATCAACAATTCAATTAATATGAAATAATAGTTATATATAAATATATATGATTTCACCCGTTCTCCTAGAAGGAAAAAAAAAACAAAAAGGAAATGTGAAGTGTGATCATGAGAATTATGGGGAATGCACATGTGGATTAAATTTTTAGCACCAATAACGGTGCTGACCTGGCAATACAATTAATCAAAAAGAGAGAAAAGATAATCCCGAATTTTAGGCGGGTAGAAAATTCCGCTAAATTCTACAAAGAAGAAGATATTTTCGACGGTCCAATGGACCCCACCTAATAATACGTCATCAACTCGCCACCTCACCTCCGAGTTGTAAGGTTCAATTTTTTTTTTGTAATCTCCGAAAACTTGAAACCAAAATTTACTTTTCCCACCAAAAGGCACAAACAGTTGCCTTTATCTATCCCCACGTGTACGTAACGTAAATCTAGGCCGTCCATGACAGGTGGGCAAGGTCATCACACCGGGCAGCGTAAATGATAAATCTCAACCCTATGATTTCCAATCGAGGGCTCATAAACTGCCCGAAACAGAAACGGGGCAGATCTTATTGCCTTTAAGAGGAGATCCGTGGCCTTGAAAAATTTCATCACTCAGGTTCAAGAGGTTCATTTGAAACCCTTACCTTCTTCTCCATTTCTCATTCGGTGAAGAAATACTAATTTCTTATACTTTCTCGCTCTTTTTTTTTTTTTAATTTTCTCCTGGCGGCAATTCAATATTCCCGGCAATAATACAGTTATGGGCTCCCGCCATTTTCTCGCCGGAGATTAATTGGCGGAGTTTTCAAGCTATTTTTAAACCCCGTAACCTTCTATGGCATCAGCTGTTATAACCGGCAGAAATGAACCGCACTGGGATAAACAGAATGCCTATAAAAGGAAATATACAACTAATCCCACTGCTCATTCTCAGCTCCACACTCGATTCAACCCTAACCCTAATCCCAATTATAACCTTCAAAATTTTTCAACCATGTCTCATCTCCAGCAAGTCAATGAGCCACTACCAAGGGCTGCTCCCTCTCCGGCAATAATGGCTACCAGTAAAGTGCCGTTCAATTGGAAACCAAATGCTGTTGATGGAACCGACTTATTTCACAGAGAGTATGTGGTTTTCAATTTGGCTTCTTATTCGAGAAGCGAGTTGAAGGACCTTAAAAAGATGCTAAGCTCTGAGCTAGATCGGGTCCAAGGACTTCTAGATAGGATCGAAACCCAAGATTTCGTCCCCAGGACATCTTTTCATGCCAGAGAAGTCATACAGCCACCGATGGCACCATGGCCTCAATCGGCATTGGCCCCCAATGCCAGTAGGCAGCATCGCGAACCTGTTTTAATTGGTAAAAAGAGCAAGAAGCACACTGGACAAAAGAGACCAAGAACAATTGACTTAGGGAAAGATCTAGTGGTGGAAGGCGATAAGTTCTTTGTTAATATGATGAAGACGTGCCGGCAGATATTGGGTAAAATAATGAAGAAAAAATACGGGCGTGTGTTTAATGCACCAGTGGATGTTAAGGGTTTGAATCTTTATGACTATCATGATTTCATCAAGCATCCCATGGATCTCGGAACTGTGAAATCAAGACTGGACAAGAATGTGTACAGAACGCCACAAGATTTTGCAGCTGATGTGAGACTTACATTCACCAATGCCATGACATATAACCCAAAAGGTCAGCATGTGCATAATTTGGCTGAGGAGTATCTTGGTATCTTTGAAGAGATGTTCAAACCAGCGTATGAGAAGTATGAAGCTGAGCACCATAAAGTTGCGACTATTATGCAGCAGGTGCATCAACAGATGAATCTGTCTCAGCCTGCACCAAATACTAAGCTTCCACCGTTGCCAGTAGCAAAGAAATCAGGATCTGCGCGGTCACATTCCACTTTGTTGAATCAACACCAATCTCATATCCACTCTTTCAGTGAACCTGTTGCACCTCTTTTTGCAACCCCTGCTTCAAAATCTCCTCCACAGCCTGTTGTTGAGATGCCTAGGTCAGCTAGGACGTCCAAGCTGAAGGTTAAGGATCCGAACAAAAGACTTATGACCGAAGGTGAAAGGGACAAGTTAGGGAATGAGTTGCAGAATCTTCCCCCAGAGAATATGGAACATGTCCTGCAACTTGTGAAGAGGAAATTCCCTAATCTTACAGAGGAAGGGAATGAGGTTGAGCTCGACCTTGAGATCATTGACAATGAAACACTCTGGGAACTGTATCGATATGTAATTTCCGATAAGGAGTCTATGAGCAAGATTGAGAGATCAGGAGTCACAGAAAATGCCGCGGCCGTACTGCTCAACAAGGTAAAGAAATCATATGTTTTTTTCATACATTTGTTAAGTAACTCTATATTGTGCCATGTGTGCTGATCACCATGTTGCTTTTGTTAAATAAGTCGCCTGAGAAAGCACCAACACCAGAACATGCAAAGCCTGAAATCAATGAAGTGGACGTTGTGGAGGAGGATGTTGATATTGGTGAGGAAATACCAGGTGAAAACTTTCCTCCTGTGCATATCGACAAGGATCCAAGCAGCTCTAGCGGCTCAAGTTCTGGCAGTGATTCTTCTTCCGGAGGTATAACTTTTTCTTTCTGTAGTTCATTTTGGTTAACAAGTGTGATGCTATATTTACTTTTGCCATGGTTATTCAGATTCAGGAAGTTCTTCTGAGAGTGATTCTGATGAGGATAGTGTACAGTCACCTTATGTTGAAGCAGCAAAAGAAGCTCCTGCAACCTAAGCCATTAAAATGGGCTCGAATAGTGCTATGGTGTTTCTGTTAGTATTTTCTCTGCTGGTTTTTGTGCATCTGTTTTAGCAGCACAGAAGATATCACAGTTTGGCTGGGTTTTAGCTTTTAAGAAGTATGAATAGTTCAAGATTAGGAAATTGAGAGGTTTTAGCTAACTACAGAGTAGTGGTAGGTAGGATGTTACAAATGGGGGACTGACAACAGACATTTTGGGTTTATTTTTTGCTTGTATACAGAACACCTGCTGATTCTCAGT